TGAGAGACCACCCCCTGCGCACATGGTGTCGAGAATATGCCATGCCTGCTGTGCCCTGGACGACGTCACGGATAGCGGCCGCGGTGAGAGACCACCCCCTGCGCACCCCCTATGGTGCCGGTGAGATGCCATGCCTGGTGTCTATGCCATGCCTGCTGGGACGACCGTCACGGATAGCGGCCGCGGTGAGAGACCACCCCCTGCGCACCCCCTATGGTGTCGAGAATATGCCATGCCTGCTGTGCCCTGGACGACCGTCACGGATAGCGGCCGCGGTGAGAGACCACCCCCTGCGCACCCCCTATGGTGTCGAGAATATGCCATGCCTGCTGTGCCCTGGACGACCGTCACGGATAGCGGCCGCCGTGAGAGACCAGCCCCTACGCACCCCCTACGCTGCTGTGCATGTGCTGTGCTGTGCTGTGCTGTGCTGTGCTGTGCTGTGCTGTGCTGTGCTGTGCTGTGCTGTGCTGTACTGTGCTGTGCTGTGCTGTGCTGTGCTGTGCTGTGCTGTGTGAGAAGGAGAGAGGAGGGGAGGGGAGGAGGAGACGCGGGTGCGCCGCGGCAGGGAAGAAAACCAGAACCCCACGAAACATGTGGGGAAAAAACCGTAGGATCTGGCACACCAGGCACCCCTTTGTGATGAGTCAACCCGGGGCGGCGGATCGGAGACGCCTACGGCGAGTCACCGCCGCCGCCGCCAGCCGTTGTGGAAACCTTTCGGGGAACAGTTGGGGAAGGATGGCGGGGATGATCAGGAGAATGAGGAGTAGGAGGAGGAGGAGGAGGAGGAGGAGGAGGAGGAGGAGGAGGAGGAGGAGGAGGAGGAGGAGGAGGGGGAATCTTGGGAGCTTTGGGGGGCACTCACTCTTAGGGCCTCCTGGCCTCCTGGGAGCTTCCTGGGAGCCTCTTGAAGACATCTTGGGGGCCTCCTTGGGCATCTTGGGGGCCTCTGGGAGCTTCTCGGGGGCCTCTTTTGCCGTCTTATGGCAGTCCTGGCCCGTCTGACGCCGTCGGAAGCCGTCTCGTGGGCCTCTCTGGGCCGACTTGGGGCCTTCTTGGGGTGCTCCAGGGCCGTCTTGGAGGCCATCTTGGGCGTCGTGGAAGCGACCTGGCCCGGCTGACACCGTCGGAAGCCGTTTTGGGGACCTCTCTGGGCCGATTTGGGGCCCTCTTGGGGTGTTCCAGGACTGTCATGGAGGCCATCTTGGGCGTTTGAGATGCCTCTTGGGCCGTCGGCGGGCTCCTTGGGGCCGTCTTGGGGGCCTCTTGGGCCGTTCTGGGACCATCTTGGAGGCCTCTTGGGCGATCTTGGGGGGCTGCCTTGGAGACTTCTTGGAGGCCTCTTGGGCTATCTTGGAGACTTCTTGGGGACCCCTTGGGCCGCCTTGAGCCATCTTGGAGCCGTCTTGGGCCGTCTTGGAGGCTGCGTGGGCGGACTTGGAAGTTTCTTGGGCCCTCTTGGGTCTTCTCGGAGGCCATCTTGGACCCCTCGTGGGCCGTCGTGGAGGCCATCTTGGACCATCTGGGGCGAACCTGGAGGCCTTTGGGGGACGTCTTGGAGGCATCCTGGGCCGTCAGGAGGTCGTCTTGGATGCCTTTGGGGCCATCTCGGGGCGATCTCGGGGGCCTTTTGGGCCGTCTTGGGCTGTCGGAAGGCCGAAAAACAGCAAATGCCAAAATCCTTCAAACACCTAAGGAATATCAATGATTTGGGCATCTTCGGGCCCTCCTGGAGGACCTCTTGGAGGCCTCTTGGGAGCCGTCTTGGGCCGTATTGGAGGTTTCTTGGGCGGATTCGGAGGCATCTTGGAGCCATCTTGGGCCGTATTGGTGGCTTCTTCGGCGAATTTGGAGGCAACTTGGACCATCTTGGGCCATCCTGGAGGCCATCTTGGGCCAACGTGACCATTTTAGAAGCCATTTTGAGCCGTCTTGGAAAATGTGTTGGGCACGTTGAGATTGCTTCGGTCCCTTCCGGGTGGGGTGGCCGATGGGACGGGCCGAAGCCCCAGGGGGAGTGTTATAATATATATATATATATATATATATATATATATAGGTTCAGCACGCCAGTCACCTCTGTGGCAAAACCAGACGGGGCGGCGAATCTAAGGGCCTTCGGCCCATCCCGCCACCGCGCCTGGTTTGTCGGAATGAAGCCTGTTGGATGTTCGCTAGTATCTCGTGGTGGGGGGCATTTCGGGAGCCTCTTGGAGGCAGTTTGGAGGCCTCTTGGGGGGGAGGGGCCATTTGGGGGCCTCTGTTGGGCCTCTTGGGGGCTTCTAGGTGGCCATCCTGAGCGTCTGGGAAGCCTCTTGAGGCCTCTTGGGGGCCTCGTGGGGCGGAATGCTCGGAGTTTCGGTTCGCGTTCCCTCTCTTGGGCCCCTGTTGGGGCCGTCTTGGAGCCCTCTTGGGCCGTCTTGGGCACCTCTCGGGCCATCTTGGGGCGCTCTTAGGCTGTCTTGGGGCCCTCTTGGAGGACTCGTTGGCCGCTTTGAGGTGGTGTTGGGTGCCTCTTGAACCGTCTCGGAGCGTCGGAAAGCCGAAGAGGCGAGAAGGCAAAAACGTTCGAGAACCTGAACAAAATCAAAGATGTTGGCCACTTGGGGCCGTCTTGGGAGGCCTCTTAGAGGCCTCTTGGGGCGTCCTGGAGGCCTCTTGGGTCGTCTGGAGGCCATATTGATCGTCTTGTGTGTATGGGCTAGGCTTGTGTGGTATGTGTGTGATGTGTGTGATGTGTGTGTGTGCTTGTGTGTATGTGTGCTGTGTGTGCCTGTGTGTAGTAAACTTGTGTGTTATGTTCGTGTGTGCGTGCTGGTTGTGTGTTGTGGTGCTTGCGTGTGCTTGTGTTTATGATGTGTGTGGTGTGATTGTGTGTGGTATGCGTGTGCTATGGTTGTGTGTGCGCGTGTTATGTTTGTGTGGTATGCTAGTGTGTATGGTGTTGCGCTTGTGTGTTGTGTGTGTTGCTTTGCGTGTGTGGTTTGCGCGTGTGTGATTTGCGTGTGTGTGTTATGTGTGCTGCGCTTGTGTGCTATGCCTGTCTGCTATGTATGCGTGTTATGTCTGTGTTGACGGGTGTATGTGTTGTCTGTGTTGTGTTTGTGTGCTCGTTATGGTTGTGCTTGCGCGTTGTGCGCTTGCGCGTGCTGCTGCCAATGATATGCTTAGTTTGTTGTTGGCCCCGATGCCTCCTAGAGTGGCAGGACGGGCGCGGCACCAGGAGGAGGACGACGAGCCCAGAGTGCGGATGAAGGCAGGAGCGAGGAGGCACGAGGCCAGAGGCAAGAGTCAGGAGGCAAGAGGCAGGAGCAACGAGGGAGGATGGAGGAGGGAGCAGGAAGGAGGGAGGAGGGAGGAGGAGGAGGAGAAGGAGTAGGAAGGAGGGAGGAGGGAGGAGGGAGGGAGGGAGGGAGGGAGGGAGGAGGAGGAGGAGGAGGAGGAGGAGGAGGAGGAGGAGGAGGAGGAGGAGGGAGCAACGAGTAGGAAGAAGGGAGGAGGAGGAGGAGGAGGAGGAGGAGCGGAGCTCCCTGCTTCGGGCCTCCCAGGCAGACGGTCCTCAGGCGCTCGGGCGTTCCAGACCGCACAGCATCACCGACGTGCTCGGTCGACGTCGCTGCGGCCTGGGAGCTCGATCGTCTCCAGCTCCGAGTCGCACCAGCCCGCCGTCGGCGCAATGGCTCCGCCGAGGCGGTCCGCACAAGCTCCCGACAGGTCGGAGGTCACAATGGCCTCGCAAGCGCGTGTACGAGTGTGTCTGTGTGTGTGCGTGCGTGCGTGCGCGCGTGTGCTTGTATGCGTGTGCGTGTATGCCGTGTATGCGTGTATGCGCGTATGCGTATATGCGTGTGTGTTTGCGTGTGTGAGTGTGTGTGTGTGTGTGCGTGTGTGCGTGTGTGTGTGTGCGTGTGTGTGTGTGTGCGTGTGTGTGTTTGTGTGTGCGTTGCGCGCGCGTGTGTGTATGTGTGTGTGCTTGCGTGTGCGTGTTTGTGTGCGTGTGCGTGTGTGTGTGTGCGTGTTTGTGTGTGGGCGTGTTTGTGTGTGCGTGTGTGTGTGCGTGTGTGCGTGTGTGCATATGTGTGCGGGCGTGTGTGCGTGTGTGTGGGGTGGGGGGGGGGGGTGTATGTGGGTGTGGGTGTGGGTGTGTGTGTGTGTTGTGTGTTGTGCGTTGTGTGTTGCGTGTCGTGTGTTGTGTGCTGTGTGTTGTGTCTTGTGCGTTGCATGCGTTTGTGTTTGTGTGTGCGTGCGTGTGTGTGTGTGTGCATGTGCGGATGTGTGTTTGTGTGTTTGTGCGTGTTTGTGTGTGTTAGTGTGCTTATGTGTTTGTATGTGTGTCTGTATGTCTGTGTGTGCGTGTGCGTGCGTGCGTGTATTTGTGGGTGGATGTGGGTGTGCGTGCGTGTGTGTGGGTGTGTGCTGTGTGTTGTATGCTGTGTATTGTGTGCAGTGTGTTGTGTGTTGTTTTGTGTGTTGTGTGGTGTGTGTGAGTGTGTTGTGTGGTGTGGGTGTGTTGTGTGTTGTGTGTGTGCGTGCGGGTGCATGCGTGCGTGGGCGTGTGTGCGTGTGCGTGTGTGCGCGCTTGTGTGTGTGTGTGCTTTTGTGTGGGTGTGTGGGCGTGTGGCTGTGTGTGGTGTCATGTTCACGCTGGTCAGCCCGGCAGCGCAGGCACCCGTGCGCATGCTCCCCAGTGTTTACCAGCCTGGAGCATATCCCTATCCCTATGCTGGGCACCTCCTCATCACGATGCCAATCTTAGGGACTCCCTTACTTTTGAGGGCGCATCCCTGAGGCCAATCTTAGGGACAGGGATACGTTCGAGGCTGGGAAAGTGTTGCACAGACGAGCTCGCGCGCTACAGAAGCCATGCAAGCGCACGTGGGGCCCACGGGCCGAGACGTGCCGCGGTCCGAGGCCCCAGGGCCTTGGCAGAGGCAGGAGGCCGCCGGGCGGGGCGGGGGGGGGGGGGACGCCCGCTCGCCCGCCGCCCGCGCGGCCAGGCTACCCCTCCCGGGAGCGCAAGGAGGCCCCGGAGCCCGCCCTGAGCTCCAGGGGCGGCGGCTAGCTGGGGCGGCGCAGGGCGCCGGCGGACGGGCCGTGCAGGCCGCGGGCGTACAGTGCCGCGGCCGGCGCCGGCGTCCTCACAGGATCTCAGCGCCACCGCGGCGGGTGTCCGGCAGCGGGCGCTGCGGCAGCGCGCAGGAAGGCGGCGGGCTCCTCCTCCTCCTCCTCTTCCTGTCCCCCTCCTCCTCCTCCTCCTCCTCCTCCTCCTCCTCCTCCTCCTCCTCCTCCTCCTCCTCCAAGGCGCAGGAAGGCGGCGGGAAAGTGGCAGGAGCGCCCCCATCTCGCGCATCGACCGACGCCCCCGTCTACAGAGTGCTCGTCAGGGTGGCGCTGAGGATCTAGCACATGTCATAACCGTCGTGCGGGCGCCCGCGGCACCACAGCAGCATGCGTCCGCAGAGTATTCGCTTAGACACGGCACGAACCGATTTGGCCCCACCCCTCTCTACGCACTTTGTGGCATCATCTTCTCTGTTTCCTGCACCTCTGCCTTTGACCACAGGAAGGGTCTTTCCGAGACGCAGCGTCAGTCGCTTCCCGTGGAAGCAGCAAGACGCACGACTCGCTGCGGATGGCAAATGCCAATCCAGCAGCCATTTCATTCACCGCGATGCTGATGAAGACTTCAGCGCCGCGGCGCAGCGAGGGCGCACCACGCATCAATCGGCCGCCCCGGTCGCATCCGCATCACCGCTGCTGGTGTTCGGCGAAGCTGATTGGTTCGGGGGAGCGTAAGACCCGGGTTTGCCGGGACTCGGGTTCGCCATCGTTTTTTGACGACCGCGACTCGGATTTTGACGAGGAGGAGTTTTGTGGGATGTCTGCAGCGGGAGGCCTCGTCAAAATGCAGGCTCGGCCTCGTCATTTTTTTGACGACCTCGTCGGGGATTTCCGAGTCCCCCGTACCCGGGTCTTACGTCTCCCCGAAGCTAGGGCGCACCACGCATCAATCGGCCGCCCCGGCCGCACCCGCATCACCGCTGCTGGTGTTCGGCGAAGCTGATTGGTGCACAGTAGGCAGGCCTCCACGCTCGCTCTTCTCTCACCGCCCACCAAACCACCCCAACTCAACCCGAGGGCCCCATGTGCCCTCCATTTCCGGTGGGGGGGGGGGTCGGGCAACATCGGAAGAGCACAGGAAGCCCGTACCCCCCCAAACCCGAAATTCGGGCGAAATTCGTGGCTTCGGGTTGGGTTGGGGTGGCCTGGCAGGTAGTCATTCTCACCGCCTCCCGCGCCATTTTTTCCCCAGCGGTGGCCCGCACGATCCGAAAAGTGTTCAGTCGGGCCTGTCCCTCTACGGGAGGGGTGTTCAAAAAATAGCCACACGCACACACACACACAAAAAAAAAGAGGCTGGGAAGATGCCTTGAACACGTGTTTGCTATTTGGGGGTAATTTTCTGGACGACTGTTATCATTTGTCGCCCAACATTCGCCTGTAGGGGGACACGCCCGGCCTCAGAGAAGTGGCGACGCGCGCGGCGCCCGGGAAGGGCCCGCGGGGGGGCGCCGCGCGGGGAGGTGGCAGCCCGAGGGGGGGGGGCGCCGTGCGGCGCACCGCAGCGCCTCGGGGGCCCTCTCCAGGGCGGCGGCCAGAGAGCGTGCAGAGGGCAGATGTCCTTTCTGCGTTCGGCCCCTCAGAGGGGGGGGGGGGCAGGAGGAGGAGGAGGAGGAGAAGGAGGAGGAGGAGGAGGAGGAGGAGGGACGAGAAAGAGACAAACGAGGAGGAGGAGGAGGAGGAGGAGGAGGAGGTAGGAGGTAGGAGGTAGGAGCGGGGAGGTGGTGGAGGAGGAGGAGGTAGGAGGTAGGAGGTAGGAGCGGGGAGGTGGAGGAGGAGGACGACGACGGGCTGAGAGGAGGAGGCAGAGGAGGAGGAGGAGGAGGAGGAGGAGGAGGAGGAGGAGAAGAAAAAGGCAAGAGAGGAGGAGGGGAAGAAGGAGGAGGAGGAGGAGGAGGAGGGGAGTGGAGGTATGAGGGAGGGAGAGTGGGAGGACGAGCAGAAGGGCGGAGAAGGAGGTGCAAGAAGGCAGGATGGGGGAGGAGCAGCGAGGTGAGGGGTGAGGAAGAGGGAGCAGGAGGGGGCAGAGAGGACGAGGGAGAGGCTCTGCGGTGCCCGCGTGGGCCCGCAGAGGTTATAGGGACCCGCAGACTTGACTTGCCATGCCATAATCCCGCCCCCCCCTTCCGACAAGTTCGTGCCCGGTGGCGGCCGGAGCGGGCTTCCTCCCCGGCCTTCCTGCCGTCTCGGAGCGATCAGGACGGCCGGCTTTCAAGAGTTCGGGCCACTGGGGGTCCGCAAGGGGCTCTCCAAAGGCGCAGCCCGTGGCGGAGAGTCCACACGAAGGATGGAGGCGAGAGATCTCGAGCCCTCCTAGTTTTTTGGAAAAGCAGACGTCGGAAGTCGGAGGTTTCGGCTCCGCCTCGTGGACGAATTCCGCCGTCGTCATCTGTGCCGCATTGGCTCAGGACCTTCGGCCACGCGCAGGAGGGGGGGAGAGGGAGGGGGGAAGGCTTCCCAGAAGCACCCCTGCTTCTTAGAAGCCTTCACCCCTCCCCTGGTTCCCCCTTCTGCCTGCCGCCAAGACCTTCGGGTGTGGAAACGCAGCTTGCCTGGACGCCGAGAATTCGGTCGGACTGTGTTATTGGGGCGCTTCGGTGCTTCAGCCCTTGCGTGTCATCTAGATCGAGCAGGTTTGATCCAGCCAGGGAGGCTCTTACGTCCGAGCAGTCATTGTACATGATCTTCAGGGTGTGAGCGCCGAGCAATGGCGGAGAAGCACTAGAAGACCAATGCTGGCAAGGACGAGGCGGAGTGGGGAGATAAATCGTATCAACGCCCGCGATTGCAGGAAGGACTGTGTGATAACCGCTCGCTCACCTCACTCGACGTGCAACGCGGAGACCACATCTCCCGAATGTGCGGCCAAGGAGTTGGCGGAGACGTTTAAAAGCGAGTACATGTCTGGAAAGATGTGTCAGGTTTTGAATAGGTGTGTAAATACATGTGCACACGTACTTATGTATTGATGCGCACATATGTTTACACACGCATGTGTGTTTACACACGCATGCACCTATGCATTAATCAGTGTACTGCCTCGACGTGATTGAGTAGACATGACTGAGGAGGCACCATATTAGCAGAGGTCGTTCGCATGAACAACAGAATCGAAGCGCTGTTCTTCGAAAGCCATAGCTGCACTGACAAAATTGACATTGCCATGCTAGAATTGTTAGCTGCAAACTCAACATTGCAATCGATCGCGATCTTCAACCGCCACCCCGTGACGCATGTCTACCAGAACCGTAGTCACTTCATGACCGACAATAGGCCATCACGACAGACTCAGAGATTGAGACCCACCACCAGATTGGCAAGCGCAGCCGACACCTGAGGCAGTGGATGACGGATCGTACGCCCGGGCCCTCGGTTGAGACCATCCGCGTGATTAGCTCATTCCGACGAGGCTAGCTCCACAAGGACATTACCAATGCAGTGGTTCAGGCCTTGAGCGCAAATGCTGTACAATTGCGGCATATGTTCGCCAACGAAAGCACAGGGCCATGATCATCTCCAGCGCACCTCAATGCTTGGCGAGGCGAGAGGTATCAGCATCGATGAAGAAAGGTTGTGCCGGATTGACGTGGACCCTGGCTCTGCTACAGAAAATATATCGCACGTATCTCGTTCCCCCCCTCCTATCCCCCATGAATGCCAGAGTCCGAGGCACTTGAAGGTGACTCTTCGCCATCATTCATTATGCGCGTGTGTGGGTTGTGTGTATTTTGTGTCGTGTTTTTTGTGTGTCTTGTGTGTTGTGTGTGATTTGTGCGTGTGGTGTGTGTGGCGTGTGTTGTGTGGTGTGTGTTGGGTGTTGTGCGTGTTGTGTGTGATGTGTGTTCTGTGTGTTGAATGTGCTGTGTGTTGTGCGTGGTGTGTGTTGTGAATGTTGTATGCTGTGTGTTGTGTGTTGTGTGTTGTAGGTTGTGTGCAATGTGTGCTGCGTGCGTTGTGTGTTGTGTGTGCTGTGTGTGCTGTGTGTGTTGTGTGTTGTGTGTTGTGTGTTATGTGTGTGTTGTGTTTGGTGTGTGTGTGCGTTGTGTGTGGTGTGTGTTGTGTATTATGTGTTGTGTGTTGTGTGTTTGTGATGTGTTGTGTGTTGTGTGTTGAGAGCTGTGTGTCGTGTGTGTTGTGTGTGTTGTGTGGGCTGTGTGCTGTGTGTGGTGTGTGCGTGTTGTGTGTTGGGTGTGTGATGCGTGTGTTGTGTGTGCGTGCGTGTGTGTGTGTGCTGTGTGTGAGTATGTGTGTGGTGGCGTGTTCTGTGTGTGCGTGTGGTGTGTGTGGTGTGTTTGAGAGTGCGTATGTGTGAGAGTGGGTGTGTGTGTGCTGTGAGTGTTGTGTGTTGTGTGTTGTGTGTATGAATTGCGTTATGATGTGTTGTAGTGTGTTGTGCTTTGTATTGTGTTGTGTTGTGTTGCTGTATGCTGCGTTGTGGAGTGGTGTGTGCGTGTGGTGTGTTGTGTTGGGTGTGCTTGTGTGTGTCTGTGTGTGCATGTGTGTATGAGTGTGTGTGTGTGGGTGCGTCGGTGCGTGGGCGTGTGCGTGTGTGCCCGTGTGCATGTGTGCCTGTGTGCCTGTGTGCCTGTGTGCGTGTGTGCGTGTGTGCGTGTGTGTGTGTGTGTGCGCGTGTGCGCTTGTGTGCGCGTGTGCCCGTGTGTGCGTGTGTGCGTGCGTGCGTGCGTGCGTGCGTGTGTGTCCGTGTGTGTGTGTGTGTGTGTGTGTGTGTGTCCGGAGTTTGTTGGCACGCGAGAGAGTTTGACGCGTGGGGAGTGCACCGTGGGGGGGGGGGGCCATGACAAGGTGCACCGTTTCAGCATCCACTGTGCGCATCGGTTTCGGAGGGTGCTCTCCATGCAGGCCACGGGGCCTTAGGCTGCGCTAGCGGTCCACGGCGGCTGCGTATGCACTCATCGCTTGTGCGTTCTCGTTGAATTTGGGGGGGCGAGAGAGGGGGAGGAGGAGGAGGAGGAGGAGGAGGAGGAGGAGGAGGAGGAGGAGGAGGAGGAGGAGGAGGAGCAGGAGGAGGAGGAGGAGGAGGAGGAGGAGGAGGACACGAGCACAAGCCGGATGGATGCTGCACGAGGGAGCGCGGGCGCGCAGGCCCCGTCCTCCTGCAGAGCTTGCCGCGCGTGTGGTTGCTTCCATACCAGCGGCGAGCGAGGGGAGCGAGGTGAGGAGGAGGAGGAGGAAGAGGAGGAAGAGGAGGAGGAGGAGGAGGAGGAGGAGGAGGAGGAGGAGGGGGAGGGGGAGGGGGGGGGCGAGGGGGAGGAGGCCTTCTCGGAAAGCTCGGAAAAAGTCCTCCAGCCTCCTCAGAGGTCGTCTGAGGCTTTCCCGAAGGCGCGGAGACAGCTTGTCAGAAGGAGCGAGGGTTTCTGAGAAGTCACGCCACCTTCCGAGAAGGCCTGTTCCCTCTCGCTTCTCCCCCTCGCCCGCCGCCGACTATAGCATGCCAACTGCCCCCTGCGCAGCCCCATTTGGAAGCAGGCTCAGCCCTCGCCATGGTGGGCCATGATCGAGCTGATCGAGCTGAGCGATGACGACGCCTGCAGCAGCGCTTGTGCTGGTGCTGGCCCCTCGCGGACCGCCGACCCGCCTCTGGACTTGCCGACCACCCGTGCTGCCAGTGCTGCGGGCAAGACGTTGGAGTACTTCGCCGCTGCGAAAGTTCGGCCAAAATGCAGCGCCTCCCGTTAGGCGACGGGGCCCCGGTGCAACCTTGTTGGTTCGATTTCGAGGTGGCGATCCCGCCCAGGATTGCCTCGATAATAGAGGTCGGCGCCCCGTCAGCCCGGGTTCGCAGTGGCGCTCCCGCCCAAGACTTGCCTTGGTGGAAGCACGCAACGGGCCAACACTTTCGCAGCGCCGATGTA